ATACATAGGCAGTGGGCTTAACCCTTAACTTCTTAAGGGATGTCGTAGGTGACACTTCATATTCTTATAAAAGTCCCTATTTGGCTGAATGATAGAACCAATAATGACATTTCTTATATTCTTATCTTCAGCTCTTTTGGAAGCTTAATTCCTTCTCTTTATCTCCTTTTTACAATATTCCCTCTTTTTTTTCCTTCTCTTTGCTCCTCCCCCTTTGTTATGGATTGAACTGTGTCCTCCCAAAATATGTGTTGGAATCCTGGCCCCAATATCTGTAGATGTAATCCCATTTGGGAATAGGCTTTTCTTTGTTATGTCAATGAGGCCATATCAGCATAGGATGTGTCCTAAACTTAATCACTTTTGAGCATTGACACAGGGACAAGTGAGCACAAATGGGGAGGAAGATAGATGCCACGTGAAACTTGCCAAAGAACCGAGGACAGCTGGGGTTACAGAAGCTGAAAGAGACAAGGATCTTCCCCAACAGCTGACAGAGAGAAAGCTTTCCTCTAGAACCGGTGCCCTGAGTTCGGACTTCTAGCTTCCAGAACTATGAGAAAATAAGTCTCTGTCCTTTAAAGCCATCCACTTGTGGTATTTCTGTTGCAGCAGCACTAGGAAACTAAGACACCCTTCCAAATCTAGGGACATTTCAAACCTTTACTCTTCCCAGCTCTAAGCACCAAGAGCTGCACTGTCCAATAGGGTATCCACTGGCCACACATTACTATTTAAATTTAAAATTTAATTAAATAAAATTAAAATTTCAGGTCTTCAGTTGCACTTAAAAAAACCAAACCCGACTCATAGCAACCCCAATAGGGTTTCCGAGGCTGTACATCTCTACGGAAGCAGACTGCCACATCTTTCTCCCTTGGAGCCACTGTGGTTTTGAACTGCTGACCTTTTGGTCAGCAGTTGATTGCTTTAACCGCTGTGCCACCAAGGCTCCTCAGTTGCACTAGCCACATTGTATTAGCTGAACTATTGAATAGCTCAGATAAAGGATACTTCTATTATTGCAGAAAGTTCTATTAGACAGCACTAGACTATCAAATTACCCCTCCCCTTTTGCCCAAAGACCTAGACATTAATAATATTAACAACAAAACAATTTTATGATGCATTCTAAACCAGGCACCTTGCTCAGCTCTTTTCATATGTAATCTCATTTAATCTCTTCAACACTCCTATGAGCTAGATACCGTTCTTATCTTCATTTTATAGATGAGGAAATTGAGTCTCAGAGAGATTAAATAACTTGTCTGAAGCCACACAGCTGGTAACAGGCACAGCTGGGTCTGGAACCTGAGTCTGACTTCGAAGTCTATGCTTTTTAACTGCTCAACTATGCTGTCTCCCATAAATCCCTCATTCTTCCTCTCAAGTTCATCTTGTCATCATCCTTCTTGTTATGGATTGAATTATGTCCTACAAAAATATGTGTTGTAAATCTTAACCTTTATGCATTTGGGAATGGGCTGTCTTTGTTATGTTAATGAGGCAGGACTAGTGTAGGGTGTGTCTTGAGCCAATCTTTCACCAGATATAAAAGGAACAGATTAAGCAAACAAAGATGGGAGAAGATAGCTATCAAGCCACATGGAGATCTCCAAGGAACCAGGGAACAGAAGTTACAGAGACGAGAACCTTCCTCCAGAGCGGACAGAGAAAGAAAGCCTTCCCCTAGAGCCAGTGCCCTGAATTCAGACTTCTAGTCTCCTAAACTGTGAGAAAATAAATTTCTGTTTGTTAAAGTCATCCACTTGTGGTATTTCTGTTATAGCAGCACTAGATAAATAAGATACTTCTGACATCCCACAGAAAGGAGATCACATTACTTATGAAACACCCTGGCATCTGTCACGTCGGGAGCCCCATAGGTTCAAATTGAGCATCCCCTTTCTCCCACCTACTGCTCAGCTATCCCTTCTCACTCACTTCCTCATTTATCTTTTACTCTTCTGAAAGATGAGTATTTCAAGAAATAATGATACATTACCGATTCATTTCTTAAAATAAACCACACAAATATAGGTCCAGGCCCAACAGTTCTTCCTCCAGGACCCTCCACAAGCAGAGACTGGGGAGAAGACTAGGTAAAATAGAAATCTTCCTGGGAACAACCAGTGGCAGTGTTTGAGATGAGAAAATGTGGTTATTTTATACGACTATAAGAACTCAAACCTTTCTCCTCCCCAAACCCAGTCCCATCCTATGATCCACTATGAACTTTGTTTAAAACTAGGGCAAAATGTCTATTTTGTCTATTTCATCCATCTGCTTGTATCCATCTGTATTTTCAGTATATTCTCAAACATTCCATAATACTCAAAATGGATCTTTCTTTTACTCACAAATTTATCGAAACAAGTATTTCCCAAACTGGTGTGCTATGGAATACTGTTATGCAAGTTGTTAAAAATGTGTTCCAAAGGGATAAAAGTCTTTAGTGATCAAATGTATTTGGGAACTACTGGATTAAAAATGCTAAGAAGATTTCTTTAAGGCAGGACTTCTCAAAGTCTTGATGTAAATTAAGTCACTCCCCGGCTCAAAACAGTTCAATCCCTGTGGCAGCCTTACAAGGCCCTACATGAGTTGCCCCCACCTTCTTTCTTAGCATCATCTGGTACCATTCTTCCCCTTATCAGTCTGTTTCAATCATGCTGGCTGTCTCAGGGCTCTTCCAGTATTCGCTGTTCTCTATGCCTAACTCTCCCTCTTGCTGTTCCAATGGCTAGCCCCTTCTCATCCTATAGGCTTCAGATCAAATATCACCTTCTTGGAGAGGCCGTCTCTGATGATTCTATCTAAAGTGTTTCCACCTCATCCTCCTGCCATGCTTGATCTCATCCACTGATTTTATTTAATTCATAATATTTATTACTATCTATGATTACCTCATTCATTGACTTGTATATTTTCTGTCTCCCCTACTAGGATGTTAGATCCACAAGAGCAGGGTCCATATCTGCTTTATTTACCATTCTATCCCCAGATCCCAAGACAGTGTCTGAAACATAATGGGTGCTCAATAAACATTTGTTAAACAATTGATTGAAATTATGATGTTAATTTTGAAACTTGTGTAGGAAAATATAATGTACAGTTTTCCCCAAACTTGTCTGAGTGTACAACCTCTACCCTTCCAACACACATACACACACACACACACTTTGAACTCATGGTCTTCAATATACAAGCTGGAAAATGCTGATCCAAATTTTTTCTTATTATTTACTTTTTCAACTTTTGGGCTTGATAATTCCCATAAAATTGATAGAGACTTGAATAAATTTGAACAAAAAGCTGCCACAGTGCATATTCAAGAATCAAAGACATCAATTTCTTTCCTTCCTTCCCATACCCGCACTCCCACTCCCCAGCCACGAACAACCAAGTGCTCACAGGAAGTTCCTACATGAAAAGTCAGCAAAGAGATTAAAAAATAAAACAATAAAAGGAGACAGCAATAAATAGCTTTTTCTGGGGGCGATCTGGTAACAGACCCTATTGAGGACTAGGGAATAAAAATAGAAGGGTCACTCAACTTTCTCAAAATGTCAGTGAAATTAAATAGCAACACAGAGCATCCCTACCTGTCGGCACATAGGATGAGACTGTAGCTAACAAGAATAGCAAGCCAATACACCAACAGTTTTAATTTCATCTTGTGAACAGAAGGTGGCTAGACAGATGCGTGGTCCAATGTGATAATTACCCGTGTCTGCTTGGAATATAAACTTTCTTGTCTTCTGCTTCATTTTCTTTTCCAGTGAATGGGTTTAAAGAGCCATTTTTTGGAGATTTTAGTTAGGCTTTCTGCTTTTCTGCCAAAGGCACTCATTAATATTTAGTGGAATTCTGGAGGTTAAACTTTACTTATGATATGCAAGTGGGAAGCTGCTTAGTCATAGGTCAGAAACACCATATTAATCCAATGAGAGGGTCTCTAGCTGAACGCAATTATGAAAGTAATGTTAATCTCATTTTTTTTTAGAAGGAGGGTGTCAGAATCTAGAAATGATAGGCTAGCGATCTTGATATCAATCCTCAGTGGAATTCTTTAGCAGATTCATAAAGGAATGGGTTGCAAGCAGTAAGAAAAGACACCAGTGGTCACCAGGACCCAGTATGGCTTCACCAAGGGTTAAGTTAATTCCATTTTATTTGTTCAGTAATAAGGAAAGCCAATACAGTATAGTGATTGTATATGAGATTTAGCACTAGACTTCTAGGTTCAAATCATAGCTCTACCACTTATTAGGCATGGAATCTCAGGCAATTTATCTCATTTCTCTGTGCTTCAGTTTTCTGATTTTTAAGATCAAGATAGAAGTATGTCATAGGATTGTTGTGAGGGTAAAACATGTGTCTACATGCAAAGTCCCTAGAACAGTATCTAAGGAATTTATAACAGTATTAAATAATTGCTGAATAAACATTAACTATTATTTTATTATGTAGGTGTTTGGAATGTGAGCTGTATGGCAATAGCGTTAGGTAGTTCCATAATGTTGGATAACTCCATTCCAAGCATACTAATTAATGAATTTATGTCAATCAGAAGAAAAGTTTCTAACAGTATTCTGATCATCACTTTTACCAATGAATCGGCTGAATTTACAGAGAGCATGCCTTTCAACTCTGTAACTATTAAAAATTTTCACAATCAAGAAAGATAGAGTGAAAACAATAATAATGCATGTGATAGGTATTAATTTCAAGTCCTGACTCTTGGACTTAAAACATCAGCTGCACGAATGCAGGTTGTAGAAGATCTGGTCTAACAAGAGTTCTTATGCATAAGTCCTAGAGGGTTACTTGACTCAATATGAATTGACACTGATAAACAATGCTAATGGAGTCCTAGGTGACATGAATAAAAATGCACATATCCAAAGCAGAGGAGGTGCTTTGACCTGCCACTACTTTGTGTTCAACTCTGACGTCATATTTTAAGAAGAGTTGTGGCTTCTGGATAATACTTTTTTATTTGTTTGAAGGAGATTGGCAGCATTACTGCTTAGTTATACTTCTAATTAACCTTCAACTACTTATATACCACATAAGAAATAACACTACTCATATATATGAAAGAAAGCAAGTCAATATAATGTACACTATTTTCTGAGGATAGGAACTGTTTTATTCAGTGGTGTATCTCCAAGACCTAGCATACTGCCTTGAACATGGTAGGTGTTCATGAAATGTTTGATGAATAAACGAATAAAACAAATGAAAATCAAATGTTGTACATCCATAATGGCCACAATGATAAAGGGACCATAAACTATGTGATATGAGAAATTGTTGAAAACACTGAAGCTGTTAAGTCTTCGGGTACATGATAAGCTATCCTCAGATATTGTTGGATAGAAGAGATATTAGGCTTATTCTGTTAAATTCTGAGGTTAGATTTAAACTAACATATTTCACCTCAATCTGATAACATTATACATTTACAAACTTTATAGTTTATTCAGGAGCCCTGTTATTCTGTTATTCAGTGGTTAAAGTGCTTGGCTGCTAACCAAAAGGTTGGCGGATGTGGTAGTGGGCTTCCGTAAAGATTTAGAGTTAGAAACCCTATGGAGCAGTTTTACTCTGTCCTATAGGGTTGCTATGAGTCAGAATCAACTCAGCGGCAGTGGGTTGGTGGTTTATAGTTTATTCAGCACTTTATCATGCATCATTTCATATGATTTTTATTTTTATACCAACTCTATACTTTATTGGAGCCCTGGTAGCATGGTGGTTAAGAGCTTGGCTACTAACCAAAAGCTTAGCAGTTTGAATCCACCATCCACTCCTTGGAAACCCTATGGGACAGTTCTACTCTAGCCTATAGGGGCACTGTAAGTCAGAATTGACTCAACGGCAAGGGGTTTGGTTTTTGGTTTTGTATAAGTTATTACTGAAGGTATTTTATCCAATTTAACAGAAAATAGCTAACACTTATGTACATGACAAGCACTTTGCACATAAAAACTCATTTATATTTCATCACAGCTCTGTGAGTTACTCTTATTATCAGGTACACCTTACAGATGATTAACCTGAGGCACAAAGGGGTTAAGCAACATGCCCAAGATCACACATCTAGTAACTAGCAGACCCAAAGTTTGATCCTTGTCAGTCCGTATTCTTAAGGGTTACACTACACCGACTCACATTAGCACCTTTCCACAGAGGAGGAAACTGAGTCTCAGATAGATCAAGTGATTTGTTCAAGATCACTCAGCTAAAAAGTTGCAGTCATGGTCTAATATCATACTAAAGGTCCAGTGCCCTTTCTACTACCCTTGGATATTTCTCTTATTGGAAGAAATGTGGAGTTTTTAGAGCCATTCAACAGTGCAACCAAGTACAGAGACTGGAGACCTATTTTTGAGGCAAGCTATAGAGGGCATTTGTTTAAAGAAAATAAAAATCCTCACAACTGGACCAATAAGAAACATCATGATAAACTGAAAAAATATTGAAGTTGTCAAGGATTTCATTTTACTTGGACCCACAATCAACACCCATGGAAGCAGTAGTCAAGAAATCAAAAGATGCATTGCATTGGGCAAATCTGCTGCAAAAGACCACTTTAAAATGTTGAAAAGCAAAGATGGCACCTTGAAGACTAAGGTGCGTCTGACCCAAGCCATGTTATTTTCAATTGCATCATATGCATGCAAAAGCTGGACAATAAATAAGGAAGACTGAAGAAGAATTGACGCCTTTAAATCATGGTGTTGGCAAAGAATACTGAATATACCATGGACTGCCAAAAGAACGAACAAATTTGTCTTGGAAGAAGTACAACCAGAATGCTCCCTATAAGCAAGGATGGCGAGACTACATCTTACATCTTACATACTTTGGACATGTTGTCAGGAGGGATCAATCCCTGGAGAAGGACATCATGTTTGGTAAGGTACAGGGTCAGCGAAAAAGAGGAAGACCCTCAACGAGATGGATCGACACAGTGGCTGCAACAATGGGCTCAAGATAACAACAATTTTGAGGATGGTGCAGGACCAAGCAGTATTTCATTCTGTGGTGCATAGGGTCGCTATGAATCAGAACTGACTTGACAGCACCTAACAACAACAACAATGGAGGACATGCCTATGTAGAGTATGAAAGGCACTTAGATGATGTTTAAGGTTTATTTCAATTCTTAAGATTCTATGAGTCTATGAACACAGTACTTCAGGAAGAATGGAAGGAGTCAGCAGAGGAGGAGAAAGAGGAAAAGAGAACTGGTCTGTACTACCATAAGGAAGTGCAACTCAAAGTGTGGTCCTCAGAACATTAGCATCAGAAACTTCTGAGGCATTTGTTCAATCGAACGTTTTTTACTGGTGTAGGACTAACATGCCAAGTGATTTTTGTCCACATAGGTTTTGAGAATCACTCATATAGAGTTGACATGGGCCAGATTAGCAAGAGTCTCAAAAGCCATGCTAAAGATAAATTGATAAATAAATGGTTTTAAGGACAGGGATAACATGAAAATATATTCTAATTAAGTTGCCTCTGGCTATAATAAGGAGGATGGACAAGAGAAAGGTGAAAATGGGGGTGGGGAGAATAGATAGGTGTCTTTTGTAGTAATCTAGACAAGATATATTCCCAATTTCAGAATAGGAGTTGTAAGTATGGTTTTGATGGTTCCCGAAAGATATGGCCAGGGATTCTGAAAGATATTATTGCCACGACAGACAGAGGCAGAAGTTTGGAGAGAAGGGCAGAATTACCCTTTACAATGCTCAAAACAAGGAGAGTTTTATTATATAGTGACAGTACATTCTCTAGCTCCCGACTATGGTTCTAGCAGAAGGCATCAGGAAGCAAGTGAGGGATAATTTGGAAGATGTGGACAAATGTTACTGAGCTAGTATATCACTGGAGAAAAAGAAGTCTGCCTATTGATGCCTTCAAGAAGCATTTCAAGAGGCGGGGCCGAGATGGTGGAGTAGTCAGATGCTTCCAGTGGTCCCTCTTACAACAAACACCCAAAAAAACAAGTGAATCAATTATATATGACAATCTAGGAGCCCTGAATATCAAAGGCAAAGTTGAGGAATCGGATTGAGTGGCAGGGAGAGGGAGAGACAGTTCAGAAGCAGTGAGGAGTCGCCAGACCTGATGCGGCAGGAGCCAGAGCCCTTCAGCCCGGATCAGCTTGGGGTGCGTGGTGAGGCATGCAAGTAGCGGCACTCGGGAGATGTTTTCCACATTGGGAAAGACCCAGTGGCAGAGTCTACTCGGCCATCCAGAACCAGTGAGAAGCAGCCCTTGATTGGTGAAAGATAAGTACTTGTGTCTGGCCTACCACACGGATCAAAAACACCCCCCTTAGGGAAAAACCTCTCTCCCATTTACCTCCCTGCTCCCTGCTCTGCACTGGGTCCAGGATGGCTTCAGTGACTGCCGAGTCCCCTGGGCTGGAAGTAGGACCCATCATGTGCCCTGAGACATTTTCCCAGCCTTGGAGAGGGAACAAATTAACAAACGGGAGAAAAAGTAATCTGCTGGCTCCCTTAAGCCAGGAACTCAGGGAAAGCACAGCTCATTTGCCTAGGTGCAAGCATAAGAGATCCATGGACTTTGAGTGCTTTTCCCCCTGCATAGACTTGTCTGGGCCCAATTCAACAGCTTAGGCCCTCATTACCACAGTACAACAGGGTATATACCTGAAGTCTAACTTCAACTGTTTCAGCTGTGAAGTGGCAGGTTTGTGACATTTGACACTGCTCTGCCCATTAAGCTGGGTCTTCACCTACCCACATCAGGGGCCTGAGGACTGGTGGCTCCACCCACACAACCTAGCCACCTGTGACAGTGGTCCAAGAATAAGAGGCACCCCCCAAGTCCTTACAGCCAACAGCATTGGGTGCTCATAGTCCAGCTGCAAAACCCCCCCACCTACAAGCTCTAGGGAACAGGGACATGCTTTCTTCCTGGACACTTGGGAGCAACCATCAGCCCCCTGCCTTGCTCAGCGTATGTCCCCCTGCTGCAGCCGGATGCCTGTGCTACATCAAACACCCATGCCTGTCTAGGACTATAGGTGGGAGCTTTCACCACAGACTTGGTGGCCGACTACCTGAACACCTGAGTTGAATCCATACAGGAGGAGTGGGTGGACTCCTAGGCTCATGTACTTAGTGGCAGGACGTTGGAGGTTCAGTGGTGCTGGTGATCCAGCTAGCATGCACGAGCAGCCTATTTGGGCATATCAAAACAAAACAAAACAAGAAGCTAGGACACAGTAAGCAAACATAAAATAAACATATATAATAACTTATTGATGGCTCAGAGACAACAGTCAATATAAAATCACATAAAGAGGCACACCATGATGGCTTCAGCAAGTTCCCAAAATAATTAAGAAATTTTCCAGAGGAGGTGAATTTCTTGGAATTACTGGAGGCAGAATACAAAAGATTAATATACAGAACTCTTCAAGAGATCAGGAAGGAGATCCGTCAAAATGCAGACCCAGCAGTAGAGGAACTTAAGAAGATTAGAGAGGAGCATAATGACAAATTTAACAGGCAGCAAAAATCCATAGAGAGACAGCAATCAGAAATCCAGAAGATTAACAATAAAATTTCAGAATTAGACAACTCAACAGAAAGTCATAGGAGCAGAATTGAGGCATTGGAGGTCAGAATTAGTGAGATTGAAGATAAAGCACTTGACACCAACTTATTTGAGGAAAAATCAGATAAAAGCATTAAAAAAAGTGAAGAAACCCTAAGAATTATGTGGGATTCTATCAGGAACAATAACCTACAAGTGATTAGAGTACCAGAACAGGGGGGGATAGCAGAAAATACAGAGAGAATTGTTGAAGATTTATTGGCAGAAAACTTCCCTGATATCGTGAAAGATGAGAAGATATTTATCCAAGATGCTCATCAAACCCCACATAAGGTAGATCCCAAAAGAAAGTCACCAAGACATATTATAATCAAACTTGCCAAAACCA